TTTTTTTTTCGAAAATATGTGAGTTTCACAAAAGTAAGTCTGTGGGAATCTATCAATGGAGGCGCTTTCATTGCGTTCGATTTATTTTTCAAGTACATAAATGTACACTGCAACGTAAAATATATATGATCAATGAAAATTCCAAGCAATTTTAGAATGATATCAAGTTTTGTCAGGATAAACTTAAATCGATTTGGTTTATTCTAAATGGAGAAGAAAAAGTAGAGGTGTTTCACAAGAATCAAGATTTGTTTGATTTGTATTCATTATGATTACAAAAAGGATATGGGTGTGAGTGTGAGTATAAAATATGACTCTCCATTTTGGAATGAGCATCTGTTATGAGTAATTAGAACATCAACGCTCACATCTATCCCTAAAGCAAAGAGTGCTGGCGGACGTGTATCTATATTCTTAATGTTTTGGATTTGTGATTGACTCAACCAATTGTGCTCTTTAAAGTATATCAATTAAAAAACAAAATTTTTTCTCTTTGGCGAAACATCCGAAAGTTCTGTCTACAGTTTTACAACAGTTCGATGATAGAGATAATGCAATCAATTTGAAGTATTGAAATTACTATCAATCTCTTCAATGTAAAAGTTGATGTTTTCACCTTCTTTCATATGATGAAAGATGAAAAAAGTGTGTGATGAAAATAGGATGATCATCTTAAGTTCCAAAAACCTATGTGAAATAGCTGTGAATATATATTTATTATCTATTTGTAGTTTTTCTCATATGCGTTTAAAGCAATAATACTTTGCATAAAGTTTAAGTGTGTTAAGAAGAAAATTATATAATTTCGAGTTTTTTTTCTACACTAGTAAGAACTTAACACATGTTGTTATCTAAGCTATTTAAAAGAAATTTTCTGACAATTTCGTAGTAAGTATGAACAACACAATATTTTTTACATTCTATAACGTAAAAATATCTTTCCTAAATTGGATTGAATAGAAGATTTTCTATTTCAAACAATCAGATTTGAGAACGATTTCTTTTTACTCTTAGAGAGAGAAAACATTGTATGTAGTTCGGAATTATCGAAAGTATAATGATATTTGTCTAACATAATCATTTACACTTCATGCTAGGTGAATTGAATAGTTAACATGAAAATTGATATCTAATATACATTATAAAGAAATAACTTTGTAACCGTTGATTATCTTTTATTAGTCCTAAGAGTTCAGTAGCGAGCCTTAACTTATTTTAAATTTAAAGTAAATGGTTCGTCTCTACCATAAATGATAATTGACTTTAATAAATTCCGTCATTGCTACACCCTAATTTCTTACTCGTCACTTGATAAATTATTTTTTTATTGATGCTT